AAAGAAAAAAAGAAAAAGAAAAAGAAAAGCACTTGGCCTCCAGAATTCTGAAATTATCTCAAAAATTGTGAAATATTAAAATAATACAGCTAGGGCTTCTTTTTTTTATTATTTGCTACACATATAAAAGAGTACACATAGTACTCTTCATTCTTTCAAATATATTCCAAAATCTTGATGACCAGAAACTTTTTTTGTGTAAGACAATTTTAATTTTGATCATCACATGGTATTAGAAAAATAACAAATATTCTTAGGCACTTAGATTAAAAAGTGCTGTCCTTATTGTGACACGTTCAGGTTAATGAGCAGTATGAAAATTCTGCATTTGAACTTTAATTACATTGCTTTAGCATAAAATAAGACTTTCAGGGAAGGAGCAAAATTGATGAAGAAAAAAAAATTACTTAAGATTGTCCTGTACAAACTTTTAAGAGTTGTTAAAACACAATCTCAGGATAGAAAAAGGCCTAGGAGTAAAAAATCCCAAAAAGAACAAACCAAAAAAAGCCCACAAAAAAGCTCAGATAAATTTTAAAAATACAGGAAAAAGAGGACAGGCAGCTAGCCTTTTAACTATGACTTCTTTAAACATCTGTGTGACTGGGCCTTGCTCTTACATTTGACTGCTGGTGCCTGCAGTGAAGCAGGTGCTGTATGATGAAAACTTTGAAGTTCAACCTCACAGTAATACCAAATATGGATCTTTTACTAATTGCAACAGGAGTATCATATAAAGAGAAACTATGCCTTAGCAATTATTAAACAAACTTTTCAAGCTTATGAAGCCATTCGCAAAACCCATACAGACCATTCTTACCGCTTCCTCAGCACGGTCACCTTTCGCAGTGAGATAGGTCACTCTGAACTGCTGAACATTGTAATCTGAAATGTCCCATATCACCCTCAGACTTGAAGTTGTTTCATCATCTACCACAAGGTTTCTGATTCCTGTTCGAAAAACTAAAGCCAAAAATATTTAATTAATATTTTCTCAACTCTATTTTTAGATTTTAAATTGTACTAATTATGACCAAGTAGCTGAAAGCTCTACTGAAGTCACAGTGGGTCTGCAGATCCACGGTGGGGCAAACTCATACAGTCATACTTGGGCTTAATAACATAAAAACTTTAACCATTTAATAAAATAATAGTTATCCTATACTGCCATTAACATATAATATCCCATCTGCTTTGTTTATATTACTCAGCTTATGCAGCTTTAGAATAATCAAAACTCCACTGCAGCTAGAATGCTACAGAAGAGAAATAATCCAGAACTGTTGTTCCTTAGAAGTCAGTTTTCTAATTCCAGGGAAAACAAACAGAACATTCAAAACTAAACAAAACTCTGAGGAGTTTCCAAGCTCATATTTATTAGAAGAGCGTGCTGAATTTTCCAAACTAGTCTCTGTATTCCTAAGTAATACTGTTGGTATCATTCAGGGTCCCTACACTGTGTTATAGGTTGGCTCCTCATCCATACACGGCACGTTCAGGAAGCTGGCCACATGCAGAAAGGTGGTGCAGGAGTATGACAGTGTTCATCTTTCACTGGTGATGTCCCTTGCCTGGGGTCTACACCTCCTCAAGATCTGCCACGGCAGTGTGTTGACCACATGGACCCGCAGGAATTGGGGTTATCAGCTCCTTGGTAATATCACAGCTCTCTGCCCCAAGATCAGGGTGTGCTTGTGGGGAGCCTTAGCTCTTTGCATTCAGCATTTATACTGTTGACATTTGCTCTGTTTACCTGCTGTGGTGGGCTTAGAAGTTGTGGTACTGGTTGTAGTCACCATGGTAGGTATTGTGGTAGTCCTTTCAGCTGAAAAACAATACTCAGCTCACTAACAATTCAACAAGACATGAAAGTCACAGTATTTATCTTGTATTTCTAACTATGACAATGAAACTATGCGCTCACACCTACAAGTATCCCACACACTTTAGGCATTTCAGAGACTACAAGGGAACTATTCATTTAGTTTGCTTTAGGCACGTATACTTGCAGGATTAGCACTTAGATCTACAGATAAGACATAATTGTAAACTATACAATTAAATAAGAATGCATATAGTTTCCCACATTTCTGGCTGAACTATGCGTAATGACTTCCACTATGGCCATTTGTTAAGGTTGAAAGATTTTAAGGGTGCTTCACTTCTGTCCAAGCGAAAAACAGAAAGTATACTCAGCAATACTGGGCAATACCAGTATCATTTGTTTGGGTAAGAGCTTCTTCTCATAACAGAAGGTTCAAGACTAAGCCTGCAATTAAATTAGTAAGAATCAAATAAATTTTTGAATTTACACATGAAAAACATCGTTGTTTACTTGACCAAGTTACTATCCATAAAAAGAGAACAGATAGAGCAATCTAGCTGAAATGCTGGCAACTGTTTAGATTATATACTATAAAATACATGGTATGGGATTTTCAAGTTTTATCTTTGTTACTTCCATGTTAATGTCACAGGATGCCTGTGTAAGCTTTTTGCACCACTGTTTCTGCCAAGAGTGAATTCACCTCTAGTGAGTATAAATTACATAAATAAGAAAGAAAAGAGTATACTGTAAATGCCAAACATCTTAAATGAAATTCTTGTAAATTATTTACTTTAAAACATTTAAACACCCCCAAAAATCTAATACATCTTCTCATAAGGAACCCTGTTCAAAGACTAAATATTGAAATGTAGGATGGAAGACTATTTACTCAGATCCAAAGGTTATTAATACCACAGCTCAGATAGGGAGCCAAAGCATCGTTTTGATTCAGTGCCATCTACCACATAATATTAAATAAGAAAAGCACAAAATACAGTCAGCAAAGCCCTGGTGCTAAACTACCACATTCTTCAATATTATTGCTACCCAAAGATGGACTACATTTTAAATATAAGATATATGCATTAAATTTAAATCACTTATACATGTTTAAAAATTACAATCAAGTGTTTGTCTTACATGTAGCTCCAAGAACAGCAACAACTTCACTTTCACTTTCATCATCAAAAACCGCCAGCAAAGAAACTTCATATTCTGTGTTGGGCAACAAACCCTCAATAACATGACTGTCTGTGTCTCCATTTATGACAACCTAAGTAACACAGCAAGATTAAAGAAAATCAATTATGCATTTGATTAATTTATATGAATTGACTGAAATAAAAGAAGGAAAATGGATTTTCCTTTAAATTAAATGAAATCTACACTCAGATCTGCCCACAGAATTTATTAGCTATGTTGAAATAAAAAATTTCACAGAGTACATCTGGAAAAAACATTGTTAAGAATACTTATTTTATATACTTTATTATTTTGTGGTTAGCTTGATCATTCTAATGTGTAGTCTTATACTTTCACCCACAACTAATTAATTGCTAAAGCTGACCATCTGCATTTCATTTGAAAATCACTAAAATTCAGAACATTCATCAATGAAAGCAACATAACAAGGTAGATTAACTTTCATTCATAATTCTACCATTCAAGTACTGTTATGACAGATGTATTCAGCATCTCCACAGCTTCACAAAATGCTGTTTCTATACTAGAATTATAACCGGAGTTATGGTCCCACACCTCTGAATGCAACTTTTGTTGGAAGGGATCAACAGACGGGCAAGAGTTGGAGCTAAAGGAACTGTAAAGCAGAATGCAAGGAGCCTGAGCAGTAATTCTGGTGAAATGGGGTTTGGGAATAGTTTTTAGGTTACACAGACAGATACTACAATAACGCAACCCTTCTCTAGGTTAACACTGGCAAGTTTTTAAAGGTGGCCACCGTATACACAGAATCAGAGTAAGACTTATAATGGAAATCAAACAATAGATATGTGCTGCATAAAATCTACTACAGTCGTTAGCAGAAACAGTGAATTGCACTTTATTCTTTTAATTACCACAGGAGATTTCCTGAGTTGGTCCTGGGGAAGAGGGACCCATAACACAGCCACAGACCTTCTGAACTCAGATACAGAAAACAAAAGCAGAAAGAAACGAGTTGGGGCCATTCCTTCTACAACTATCAAGTAATGAATTAGGCATCCCACGCTGTACACTTTCTGGCATAGATTTTCTTGGGAAAATTTCAGAAACAAGGTTGCTGTATACTTAAATATATTTTTTTTTTTTTTTTCAGAAACAGTCTAGCTATATACTAAGTAGGTACAAGTAATACCTTCCTTTCCAATTCTCCAGAGCCTCTAGTTGTGTATTGAATCATTATAAAATACCTATACATAGTTACTAGCTCACACATAACTTTGGCATACTTTCTGAAGCATCACTTCCATTGCCCTCCATTCCCTGCTAATTTAGCCTTCAGAGAAGACCACTAAAAAAGAACACAAAGTGCTGAACTTTCAAGTGGAGAGGACAAATAACAGAAGTCAGAATAGTAACAAGCACGACGAGTGTAACAGCATGCATTCTCTACTGTAACCTAGAAATAAAAGGTCGCTCTTAAATTTATTCTGGTTTTTTAGCACCAACACCCCAATAAATACTCCTCACCCATCAGCAGTGTGGATGAAGTAGGCTGAGGTGTGTGTAATTCTCACCACTGCCCCCTGACCCAGCTAAGCTAATTGGCAAGTTGGGTCTTGGGAGAAAGACAGAGGGAGTGCACGTCATTTCTTTGCATGACTGATCACTTAGCTGGGAAAGAAGCTTAAAGAGGCAACAGCCTGGAGGTATTGTGCTATCCTAGGTCTGACCCCATTAGAGAGGTCATGCAAGGAGAACAAGAAAGCATCTTGGGTATTTTTAATATTTAAAGGCACTAAAATATTAGGGCCTCCAGCTGTTCTTAGTGAATACAATGAACAAGCAGAACCTTAACAGTCCAAATATTTTTTGATCATTTATTCTCACACTCAAACATAGATATCATAAATCTCACTTAAAAATGCACATGGCTTAAAGGGATTCACTGACAGCTACTCACTGGAACTTAAACAGAAACAGAAACAAAACAGTAGAAAGAGAAAATGCTAGGGGATGACCTGTGTCCACTCACTCATCTGCCAGCTCCTTCTTTTCCCTGCTCACTCCTGTAATTTCTTCCTCTCTTGCATGCCTACCTCTCACTAGGTGAAAGGGAGGAAAAAATCAGGCTAAGCTAAATTTACAGAAAAAAATGCCACATAACCTAAGCTGCAACGACTGCTTTCTGCCCTACTGCATGACAAAATTATGCATGAAACCTAGGGCCAGGTGGGAAATGTCGTCTTCTCCACTGAGTTCTGTACCCAGATAAACAGTTTGCAGATGTGGCCTCTCTTCACAGTGCTGATGCCAAGAGAGCAAGATGTTTAGGAGAGTTATTAAAGATTGAGGAGTACAAAAGAAGTCAAAAGAATGAGTAAATAAATTTTAAAGAGACAATGAGACAGACTATGAAAGATGAAAATTTGGGAAGGGAGAGAAAGCGTCTGTCTTTTTCTACTTGGAAAAAGAGAATAAAACAGGAAAAGCTAAAGGGATGAAAAGTCATTTAAAATTTGAGACTGATGAAAATGGCACTATGGAAAAGATGCACAAAGGCCTAGAGCAAAAAATACAGCATGAGGGGGAAAAAGATAAAGAACCATAAAGAGGAATAAAGGAACAATCTAATAAATTAACTATGTGTAAACTTTTCCCTCTGTAACATTACGTAACTAAGGCTTCACAGTCAATTTTACTGTGGCCAGCACATTAGACAAATGTGGAGCTTTATGTGAGGACATCACTGCTCTAGCTCAACTACCGTCATCATCTTCACAGCAAAGTGAAGAACATGAACCTCTAAAAACTGAAGTAGCACCAAAAAGCAATGCTGGTTCTATGGTAATTGGCACTTTATAGACTAGATTATTCACAAAAGATGTCGTCTTTCCTCACTTCCTCTTCAAAAAGAAACTGGAATTTGGTTTGATTTCAGTTTACAGAGTTTTGCAGTGAGGCAGATCTTTCTGTAAGTCAATTGGCCATATTTAATTGGCAAAAGTTGCAGCATAGGTGTCCTCAGAATGGAATTCCCTCTTCTGTTTCACACTCTCAGAAAGTCAAGACAACTCACCTCTTCAGATTCCCCCCCATCCAAAGGAATCCATGCCAATCTGTAAAAAGAAATATCTGACGAGGTGGGCTTCCAGCTGACCCTAAAACTATCTGTTGATGCTTCATCAATTTCCAAATGCTGGGGAGCTGGAACTCTTTCTGCAAAATATTACACAAAAGAAAAGTGAGAGTAAATTATCCTCCAAGACTTGCATATATGGCAACATCAAGCACGTATCATTTTACTCACAGTTTGTTACAAAGAGTATAACATGGGAGGCAGATAAGAAAGGTACTACAGAATTCCTTGCACACTTATTTGTACTTAGGGAAAGGGAATATACACAATACATACTCTATGTACTCTAACTGGACAAGCCTCCTTGTCCTTTCTCCCCTGAGGAAGCTCCATGCAACCCTCAGCCTCTCTCCTTTGATCAGAGCTCTGTGCACCATGCTTTTTTCTTTTCTTCTACCTCAAAGCAAAGCCCCAATCTCTGCCCTTTCTAGAGACTGCATGCATTTCCATTTGCAGTTTGCATGTGAGTCGCAACCTCTTGTTCCATACATGTATGTTCTCCCTTCCTCTTCCACCTCATGTTTCTCTTTCCTCCCTCAAAGTTCTTCTCTTCTCATTGTTATGCTGGAAAGCATTAATAAGTGTCATCAGCCATTTATTTAATGCAGAACTACAGTTACAGAAACTATAACTGTGTTAAACAGATTACCAGACCTTTAAATGTCTTATATTTTCTCCTATTGGTGTTCCAGTTTCTCTGTATGTATATAAGGTTCTACCCTTTATTGCCTAGATAGTTCACCTGTTAAATGTATGATTCAAAACTCATCACACTTCAGCTGGAGACACAAATGCCATCACACCAAATGATGCTTCAGAAGGCTGGGGAGACAAATGCTTTACCATATAATTGCAATAAAAGATGTTCTAAAATGGCTGATTGTGGAAAGACTTAAGAAATGAACCTTATCCACAGAAATGTTTTCATGATATCAAGAGATTACTCCCATGAGTAAGGACGCAATTGGCCCCATAACAAGGGAGCAAAGAAGCAGAAAACTCCAATGAAAATAACAGAAAGCATTTCATATATCCGAATTCACAGCCAGAGACACTTGCTGTTACTAGTCTTACTTTCCAGTAAAGTAAGAGAATATAAAAATTCTTCTTGGAAAGCCTTCAAAAGTTCCGTAATACTTACTTGTGGTAAAGCTGCCAGTAAGTGGTTCAGATTGTCCTTCATCATACAGGGAGAAAATAGCAACAGTATACTCTGTAAGGGATGCCAGATTTTTTAGAGAATGGGTTGAAACACGACCAACTTCCACCTAGAGAAAACATAATTTACAATAGATATTGATCATACAATTTATATTATCAGTGTCTGAAATTCTGCTGAGTAATAATGATACAGAAAGAGAATGTAATGTGATTAGTAAAGAAATTCTGTGAAACTATGAAAAAGTATAAATTCAGGGCCATAAAAGTTGACAAAATCAATTAAAATAGACAAACTAGAGAAAAGGAAAATTTTGTTTGTGACAAACTAGGGAAAAGAAGAATTCAGCCTTAGTAAGGCTAACTCACTAGCTCTCATATCAGCACTGTGTGTTGGAACCCAGAAGGGGAAGGAAATTTTTGGGCTACTGAATCCAGTGCCTTATCATTGACAATCATTTCATAAACCATTATGTTTAACATTTGTCAAGAAACAAGATGACAGTTTCATCTGGTCTCTATCGAGGCTGCAGTTAACATGACTTTGCCACGGATATAAAACTCAAAGCTGTATAAAGTCACAGTTTATCAGTCCAACTATTCAGTGCCACATTAGCTCAACACCACAGGGGAAATGCTACCGATGCAGAGCAAACAAATAAATGCCACCGGCTCCTTGAACAGACATAAAAGAAAAGTTAAGAGGTAAATAAAAATCTGATGAACATTCACTCACACTATAAAGTATATAACCACAAGATTGAGATGTCCAAATACCATTGTGATGAGTACAGGCAGATGAATTATCTATATTAAGGGTAATCAATAGGAAGAGGTTAAGTGATTTCTAATTTAAATTTTAAGGGACCTAGCAGAAAGAAAAGACACAAAACATTGCACAGGTATGCTCTCTTCTAAACTCGGGAACAGTATCTTCAGGTTTAGTACAACATTCCAGAAGAAACATAATTACACCTAACTACTATTAAAGACTTTTTTGGAGTGCCAAGTTATCCATGACAACTTATTTTGTAGGAGATCTGGACTGTTTTAATAATTGAACACATTTACTGCAATTATTTTTTTAAAACTTATTCTGTATTTTTTCAGATTTCTGTATTAATATCATTCCCTCCCATTTTTCATTCTGTCACAGAATTCATACTGCTAAAAGCTCTTATAAAGCACTTTGAGTAACAAGGCATAAGTAAATATTGCTTAAGTAAATTATTAAATGCAAGAGTCTAAGTTAGAACATCTTGGTATCACCTTAACATTCTGTTCAAGCCAAACTCTGTTTCTAGGAAGAGAGTTTTCAATATATAATTAAAGCAATAAATGTTAAGAAAATGTGGCAAAGTCTTCAGACAGTCTTTTTGAATGAGCTTGAGTCCATGACATATGATATATCGAAAGTATCAATATCTGGACTGAATCAAGAATAAATATTTCTATACCCCTCATTTAGTCAAGATGCTGCACCTACAAACCATTGTTCACACGAGTAGTTTCCTTCAGTTTAGGTGCGCCAGCAGTAACTGTTCTGGTATGTAAGAAGTTCAGAGTACTGTTCCCCACACATATGAACTACTCCAAAAGTATACCCGATACTAATCAAATGCTTATTTGCACTAAGTTTCAGAATTCTCTAGCAAATCTTTTGTTACAGCTAGCAAGGTAGCTTTTGTTTATAAAAGTTATCCTTAATAATGACAGACGTTTGAGGAGGTCTGACATTAGTTAAGGGAAGAAAGCGGCTAATAACTTACCTCATTAGTTTCTGTTCCATCTGTTTTAACGTACATGATGCGATAGCCATTTACATTTTTGGAAGCATGATCCCATGTTAGCTTAGCACTGCTGTGTCCAACATCAGAAAATTTCAAGTTTGCTGGTGGACTTAGAGGCACTTGAAAAGGAAAGAGATAAAACCATGAAAGTGATTCCATATTTTTCATGTCTTGAAAATAAACACCACATTTTCCATTCAAAAAATTATATCACCAATATTTACATTAAAAGACACACATCGATGGAGCTACAGAAGTACTTAAAGGCAGGTAAAATGGCTTAGCTCTCTGCTGAAACAGAACTTCCAGTCTTGCTAAGTGCATCTCAACTAATATTGAAAAAGAAATAAATTATGTTACTGTTCATAGGAGACATCATAGCAAGATCTAGCCTTGCAATAAATTTGTGTTTGTATTTGCGAATTAATTTAATTCAGCTAGATCTTTATCCTACATGCATTTGTTTTTCATGAGTATCCCAGCTAAAATATTTCATGACAGTAGTATTTTGGCAAAAAACTTTCAAAATCCTAAAAGTCTCTGACATAAGGGCAAGTTTCTCCAAAAAGCATAACCAGCTCAGAAGATCTCCAAAGACGCTATTTTTTTTTAACCTCTGCTTAACCTTTCCTCTTTTATTACAGAAAGAAACTGTTTCATAATGGTAAACCTCAGTTAAAGCCATATTTATATACCACATATTCCTTGACTGTCACGAGCTGAAGGAAAACAAGGTCATGCAAGAGAGAGTCTCAGATTGCATCCACTTTTCTGTCACACCAGAGAAAGCAATTTGTGCTGTTACTCTAAGCAGTAGGTTCTGTATTAGCCCAACATCTGCTAATTTTCTCTGAATTGTGAAACCTTTCTTTATCCATCGTGCCTTCACACACAGAGATGCCTTACCAATCCATGTGAACAGATAAGTATCAGCACTTCAGGAGCTGTTTCCCTCACACAAGAGCACATGGGAAAAGCAAAAGATAAGAAAACCCCATATATTATGTGGGATCTTTAGCCAGACCATATATCGACTCAGAATCTGCAAGCAAACACCTAACCAACTTAGGAACAGTCAAGTTAACTTGGCTATGCGAAAAGAGAAGACGAGAACATGTTGGAATTGTATTAGATAGGTTTGCCACACTTCCTGGCATTCAGTATATTCCTTTGAGTCTAGTGAAGGGAGTATCACGTGCTGGCTTGCCTTTCTACTTTCTGTCAGTTGTGGAATGCACTTCATTTCACCATCCAAGGACATACCACAAAATGCTTCAGTCTCAGCTCTTTCCTTTTGGAACCAATGTCCTGACAATGTTGCTCTCAACCATACAGGCAGTCCTGATGCCAGAGTTAGGTGATATTTATAGTGAGTCTTGGATAAATCCTGGCCCCCAAAAGAAACCACACCCCAGAATGAGCTTGTGATCTTGCCTCTGGCACTGAGAAAGGTTTCGCTACAGTAACTGAGATGATACAGTACATAGAATAATATTATTTACTAAATACAGAATATCAGATACTACTCATAATACTACAGCAAATTAGGCAGATCACTCTCCAGGCAGATATATGTTCCAGGAAGAAAATACTAGGTAGCCTATTCATTAGTTGAAAGCCAGAAATAATCACACTGAAAGAAAAAAAA